CCACTGACAGTCCAATAAAACAATGCTCCAAAGATCAATTGAGCAACATTTTTATGGTGAACAATACTGCTATCAACCCAGCAAACTCACCAATAGTTCAAATTAGTTGTTTCAAGGATTTGGATGGATTTCCAAGATGAAACTTTCAGCAAGACGCCAACAGCCAGCCACAATCACAGTGGAACAGGTGGAGTGTTACTGTACTGGAGGTAGGGCTTTAAATAAGTTGACGATTTTAGGGCAAAACAGGAAGTGGGCCCGCAAAAATATAAGTCTTGATTAATGGACTAATTACGGGTTACACACACCTGATTCAGATGATTAACAGGCTTTTGTTGAACTGCAATCAGTTACCAATTGAAATCAGCTGTGTTGAAGCAGGGAAACATCTAAAACATGCAGGGCAGTGTGCCTTAGAAGCAGGGTTGAAAACACAGATTTACGTGATTCATTTAGATCCGAAGTTTAATTAGTATAAGGGTAGACTTTGTTTTTACACAATGCTGGAATGCTTTTTGTTGAATAAATATTGGCACAGTATAGTCTGTCACATACTACCCCTGACTGTATACATTGTTTTTATTTAGCATTAATATGTGAGATCCATTTTTCTTCCGTATGTTTTTCGGCTCGTAACTCATTTAGCAATTTTTGTGCTATTTCAACAAATCATGTTATTGCAGTTCTGCAGCACAAAGTCTTGAGCAAATTAAGACACTTGATGCATATGCACTGTTCACAGTGTAGATCTATAATTATTTTATTCTTGGGTTGTTGCTACTGTGATGGATTTGCAACCTGTCCAGGGTGTCCCCTGCCCCTCGCACAGTGACTGCTGGATATGGGCACCAGTGACCCCCTTGACCCTTAGAGTAAAAATACTGGTTAAAATAAAGGATGGATGGATGGATGGATGGATGGATGGATGGATGGATGGATAGATGGATGGGTTGTATTATTTTGTTATCAGAAATTGGGTACACAATTTGTTTTAGGATTATTGCTCGTGGCACTTTGATTTTTACAATGTAATACTGTGAATTCGCCAACGTTATCTCGTTTTTAACAAAGACAATAAAATACTGAACTGAACTGAAAACGACCATAACACTCTTGGTACATCACTTCTTTATAGTTGAGATGTTTTCAGCCATTTTTTTATTGCAAAATAATGGAGCTGTCAACCACTAAAATGTTTATAAATAATTGCAGTGCTTTTCACCTTTTTTGTACTGGCTCTGCTGTTAAAATTTATTTGTTTAATTAATTTTATGTTAATTTCAGCATCTCTCAGCTACTTTTTTAATATTTCAACTGTTTTTTTCTTTATTTAGCTATTTTTAACTCCTTTCTGCTTCTTTCTACTATGCATGCTTCTAATTTCTTTTGTTAATTTCAGCTTTTTTTCATTATTGTTATTTACTTTCAGCAATAGTCAGCTGTTCAAAACTGAACTCGCAGTAAACATTTGGCTTTCAAACCAGAGGTGCCCAAAATGGGGCCCACGGGCCAAAATTGGCCCGCCAAGCCATTTGATTTGGCCTGGTTACTAGTTTGTAATCTCCTGTTGTCCTCTGCAGAAACACTGAATTTCCACTGACAATCAATCCATCCACTGGCCCAATATCTATGTAAGGAGATGTAGTGACGATCGTTGACTTTATCTTTGAATTATTTTAGGATTAAACATAAAATAAAAGTAACTAAAGGAGATACAGTATTTAGATTATATTTCAGCACACATGTCAATTTGAACACTTTATAAGACCACAACTACTCAGTTGTTATCAACTTATGAAATGTCCCATGAGCCTTTGCTGCTCGAGCATATGTCAAACATTCTCCAAGGTCACGTGCTAAAAGAACAAATGAACAAAACGTGGGCCACTGCTCTGGCTCCTAGCTTAACCCCATGAAAAATAAAAAGACTTAAAAGGTATTTGCATTTCATGTATTATATTAATGTATTTGGCCAGCAGACCTTGAATAGATTTTAATTTTGGTCCTCTCTGGGAAAAGGTTTGGGCACCCCTGTTTTAAACCTTTTCAGCTTGGCTTGAGGTACTTAAGCAGCTTTCAGCAATAAGCTTGTATGCATTTTCGCAGGATACGCAGTTTCTCTAGCTCTTATAATTGGTCTTGGTCCTCCAGGCAGCTCTGGAGGCGCTGGATGAACTCAACCTGTTTGGAGCAAAAGGAGGACCTGGATCTGTGGTCCATGCTCTAGCTGATGACATACAGCACTGTCAGGTACACACACCTACAAGTGCATAATGCATGCGTACATCTGAAACCAGTTTCAGTATCTTTCACTGTAAGACACAGCTCTTTATTTTGTCATCAGTCCATCCTGACGTCCATGTTACCCAGAGCGTCTATCTCTAAAGAGGTGGACGCCGGAGTCCTGGCCATCCTCACCTACCCGGCCTTCGCTGTGGAGGACATGAACATCGTCAACATGACCAAGGAGGAGATCATCTCCAAACTACAGGTACGAGGTAGCATTTCAACCTACAAGTCTTCAAGAAAGTACGTAGTTTGATAGATTAATTAGTCTTTTCAGGGTTCCTGCGGATCCTTAAAAAGTCTTAAAAGTCATTGAATTCATCAATCCAAAAATAAGGCCTTAATTAGCCTGAAAAAATCTTAAAAATGTGAACACATTGTAAATAGGATGATAGGAATTCATCTCAAATATTAAAATAATTGGTAACATTTTTTGAAAACATTCACATGCAGACATTCCTCTTTGACATCACTTCCTGTTGCTTCACATGCAAATATCTCAACAACCATCTGTCTGAGCATCGTGAAATTTGTTTCATAATATGTTAATAATGTTGTCTTTCCAGAAATGTATTCACATTTCTTACAAAAAAATTGATGTCACGGGCACTTTAAGGTTTCATCTACAGCAAATTGGGGTTGAGACCCCACTGTGGGTCCTAAAACTCCAAATTTGTTGGTCGTTAGAGAATTTCCAGGAATTAAAAAAACGTTTAAAACTGACTCCTAAGAAGATGTTTGCTATATTTGACAAAAAAGCAGTTATATATGGTTAAAAACAATTGTTTTATTAGGCATATTTGAATACTTCAACCAAAAATACTTTTATTCATGAGTTTCTGCCAGTTTTTATATTTTTGTCCTTTTTGTTTTTTGTGAAATTGGTCTTAAATTTAATTACAATTGGCTTTAAAAAGTCTTAAAATTAACTTGCCTTAAACTGTAGGAACCCTGCTTTTATTTTCATGAGCACTCGCTGCTGTAATGAAAAATGTGGGTGAAAATGTTTTTGCTTACGTGTGTGCGTGCTCATATGTCTGTCAGTAAAATATTTCATACCTCATGTCAGGGTTTTTCTACACATATATATATATATATATATTACGTGTGTGCGTGCTC